GTTAGAAAGAGATAGATAGAGAGAGAGAGAGAAACTGGAAAAACAATGCGTTTAAAAAAAAAAAAAACAAAAAAAAACTTTTCTTGCATATATATTGGTTATAAATACCGGAGAAAGTATTTTCGTTACGTTTAAAATCTTATTTCCGGTAGAAAAGTATTTTTTTTTTTTTTTAATAAAAAGTTTAAAGCTTAAATAATAATAATAATAATAATAATAATAATAATAGTTGTGTAGGAAAGGGAATCAAAACTTTTTTTTTTTTTTATTCGGGTTTTTTTCCTTTCTTTTTGTTTTCCATCGGATAAAAGTTTTTTTTTTTTTTTAAATTATTATTATTATTATTTTTGTCATTAAAAAATGAAAAATGGCGGGAAAAAACTAAAAAAAAAAAAAAAATTGAAAGTCATTTAACTTACATTATTAGACTTTTACAAATCTTTTTTTTTATATATATATATAGCAAAATTAAAATGTTGAAATAATTTTTTTTTTTTTTTAAATAAAAATGTCACACAAAAAAGATCATAAATTTTTCAAAATTTCAACGAAAATAATTTTTTTTTTTTTTTTTAAAGCGGAAACGGAAGTGTGATGGCGGGTGCGGCGGGAACGGAGAGGGTTTAATTTACGTTAAATTTTTTTTTTTTTTTATCTTTCTTATCGATGTAAAAAAAAAAAAAAACTTTTTTTTTAGAAAGAATAATGTTTCGCAGTAAGTAAATTGAATGAGTTAACTCAATCAAGGTCAAAACCGGAAATGGTTAAAAAAACCGGAAAAGGAAATTGAGTAGTTTTAAACAGTTATGATAAACACGAGTTTTCTTTCATCTCGAGGTTTTGTGTTTAAATAAACGATCGACACGAAAAAAGGTTTTGGAAAGTGTGTAACAAACGACTTTTCGAACAACAACAACAACCACGACAACCACGACAACAACGACAACAATAATTTTATGTAACTAAAAAATGAGGAAAAACTCGAAAAGTATTTTATTAAAATTTTTTTTTTTTGTTTTCAGACTCAAACGATAAGAAATTTATAGAAAAAAAACGAGTCGTAAAATAAAGTCGAGAGTAGAGTGGTAGTAGTAGTGGTAGAAGAATCATAAAGAAAAAGTAGAACAACAACAAACAACAAACAAGAGCAAAAAAAAGAGAAATTTTCTCATACGAACCAAAAAGTAGTTGAAAAATGCATGAAGTGAGACTTTATTCAATGTGACATTTGTTGCTCTCCTCAACCTTCTCCTTCATCTCCACCTCCTTTTCCTCCTCTCCTCCTCCTCCTTCTTCTTCTCCAGCTCCAGTTCCAGTTTCTTTTCCTCCCCGTTTCCTGTTATAAAGTTTTAAAATAAAAATTTTTCAGATTAAAAAAAAATAAATTTTCTTTTCTTTTCTCACACACACACGCAGTTGTAAAAACAGCTTGTTTTTTGTTTTTTATAAACAAAATAATGTTGTAAAAATAAAGATTAATAATGTTTTTTGACTTTCGTGGAAATAGAAAAACATAATAATAATAATGATAATAATAATTGATTTTATTTAAAAAAAAAAAAAAAACAACAACAACAACACGTTTTGTTGTCTTAAAAAATGGCGGCGATTCTAAAAAAAAAATTCATTTTTTTTCTTTTTTTTTTTTTTTTTGGAAAATATCCCGAATAATAATAATAATAATGATAATGATAATGAATTACAATTTATTGGATTAAATCTATTATTGTAATTAAATGTTAATAATAATAATAATAAATTAGTTAAAGTTAAAAATTTTTTTTTTTTTCGTTTTCTTTTAGGTGGTATTTAAAAAAAAAAAATTTAAAAGGCGGTGCATTGAATTTATTAAGATAATTGTGGGGAGTGGGGGTGGGGGTGGGGGGTAGGATTTCATCATTAAAAAGAATTTCAATTAAGATAAAATTTAAAAAAAAAAAAATAATGATGATGATGGTGGTGATTATTGAACGGACTAACTCACCCTTTGTTTTTTTTTCGCTTCCTTCTGCTCTTGTTTCTCCTCCCCTACTTCTCCTTCTCTTTTGTTGATTTTACTGCTTCTTCTGTCGGTTCTTCTCCTCTCCTACTCCTCCTTCTGACGTTGATTTTCCTCTTCTACTCTTCCTTTTGCTCCTTTTATCATCCCTAAAAAAAAAAAAAAAAAAAATTTACAGTATTTTTAATTTTCATCTTTTTTTCTCTTATATATATAAATCGAATTGATTTAGTTTCTCTCTCTCTCTCTCTTTCTCTCTTTCTTTTTTAGATATTTTAAATTAAGAGAATGAAATAAAACTTTTTTTTTTTTTGGATTAATGGGAATTGCCATTTTTACAATTCAACCGAATAGAAAAAATAAAATCTGAGAATTTATTTTTGTCGCGAATGAATAATTAAAAATACATAAATCCAAGTTAATTTAAAGATTTTGGGATAATAAAAAAGAAGGTTTTAACCTTCTTTTTTTATTAAAAACTATTTTTTTAAATTAAATTTTTTTTTTTTTTTTGTTATTTAAAAGGTGTTATAGATAAAAAATCATTATTATTATTAAAATTTTAAATAACGGGATGTGTATGTGCGTGTGCGTGTTTGTCGGAATTAGAACAACTTACAAAGGTTTGTGTTTGATAAAATCCGTTTTTCATAATGCGATTTCCTCTCGCGATGATTTTTTTTTTTGCTCCCCTTCTTCAATTTACGTTTGAGTGCTTCCGTGATGATGACATATTCATTCCCTCATATTCCCGTTAAAGATCCCGCTTTTTCCCGTTTCATTGGCCGTCGGTATTATGCTTCGATATGATATCCGGTTTTTGATCGTAGAGAATCGTGTGTGAACCTGTTGTCGTTCCATTCCTCGGCTAGTCTATACATGTCATATTCGCGGCAGATATTCCTATGGAAATATTTACTGATATTATTATTATTATTTACACTTTTACACATGGAAAGATTTTGTCGGAATTTTTAAACATTTATTCCAGATCTCTACCTCATTTCTTAAGGTATAATATACCTTTCATGAATGTGGCATGGCTTCCAGTGCTGCTTCCACGATGATCGGAATAGTTTCTGTTACTTTACTCCCCACATCCTGCCTGTTATTTCAGCCTTTTGTCCGCTCCTTTGGAGCTGCCTTCTGTTTTTTCCCGCCGGCACGGATACCTCAATTAACTTACACCATTTTTTTACATTATGCCACAGGATATCCGGTTTGTTGGCTGGCACAGTTCTGTCAGTGATTTGTTGATCGTGCAGAACCGTGCATGGACCTACTGTTGTAACCGGGGTTGGAATGTGGTTGTACTAGTCCTTGGGTAATCCATCCATTCCATATTCTCGACAGGTATTCCAGCGAAGATATTTATAGATTTTGTTGTGCCTCTTTATAGGTACTCATGCTTTGCCCATATCGGACAACTGGAAATTAAATGATAGATTGTTTCCGATTGGCAAATTCGGCACTTGTCATCTTGGCGGACTTTGAGGATTGCCTTTTCGTAGTTGTAAGTTTCCAAGGCTTGAACCTGATGGCTTCCGCTTCCGTTAGCCAACTATGCCTGTTCTTCTTATTAATACCTGAAGCGTTTACCCTCTTAAAATATCGTCCATACAACTTTTTCTGTTCCCATTTGCCCTTTACCTTCTTCTGGGATTGAGTTTTGCTCTCGAAATTATTATTATTATTCTTTTAATAATATATTAGTGATAATGATAATATTAAAACGAAAAAAGAAAAAGAAAAAAAATTTAATGAATGAATGAATGAATGAATGAGTGGTTTTCCAGCACCGTAAACATTTTAAATTCCCTGTATAAAATAACATTTTTATTAAGCAAATAATTATAAGAGATAATTGATGATAGATTAATAGATAGATGAATAGATAGATAGATAGATAGATAGACAAGAGAAGATAGTTTACAATTAAATTAGTTATAAATAAATTTTTTTTTTTTTTTTTTTTTTCAAAAAACAATTTTAATTAAATTAATTTTTAATTTGTTTGTTCGTTTGTTTGTTTGTTTTGTGTGTTAGAATATCGATAATAATTAAATTTTTTATAAATTTTAATTCGTTTTGTAATTATTATAAAACAACAACAACAACAAACGAAAAAAAAAAAAATTAAATTAAAATTTTTAATAATCGTATCAACTAAAATAAATATCAAAATTAAAAGTAAATTTAAAAGTTATAAAACAATCGATTTGTTGTTGTTGCAACAAACAAAAAATTGTTTTAATTTTAATTAAATAGGTTAAAAAAAAAAAATGATTAATTAAAAAGTTTTTTTTTTTTAAATAAAACTTTAGTAAAAATAAAATAAAACAAACAAACAACACAAAAAAATTATTGTTTTTTTTTTTTTACTTTTTTATACAAACAAACGAATTGTTGTTGTTGTTAATTTTTTTTTTTTTTTGAAAATTTTACAATTAAACAAAATAATATAAATTTTAACTTGAAACATTATAATCAATACAATCGATCGAACGTTTGTTTGTTTGTTTTTAAAATATAAAATCCGGTTGCTAGTCAACAAATCCGAAAAACCAAATCAAAAGGTTTACGCGTATTATTTAATCGACGATGTTTTAAATGTGAAAATTTTTTTTTGTTTGTTTGTTTGTTCGGTTTTTCTATAAAAAAAAAAAAAAAAAAAAAATGGCTGTTAAATCAAACAATATAAAATACAATCGTAAAGGTAAGTAAATTATTTTAAATAATTTATAATATAAAAAAAAAAAAAAAATTATTTAACGATTTTGTTTGTTTATTAAAAAAAGATAAAAGAGGAGGACGTAGTAAAACAACAACAACCACAACAAACGATGATGAATTTACACACGATGAAATAGCATTACGTGACGAAATATTTAATTTAAAAAAACAAATAATTTATTTGAAAAAAACAAACGAACAAAATTTAATTAAATTTCGTAAATACGAAGATGAAGCCAAAAGAAAAGATCGACAAATAGAACAACTCATGGATCCTAGAAAGGTAATATACCTATACCATCATACCATCACAAACGAAACGATAATAATAATAATATTGTTTGTTTGTTTAAGAATTTAGACGTAACGAAAATATTATCGACAAAAGGTGCTGCACTTTTAATGAGTTTAAAAGATCAAAATAATTCTCTCGTACAAATGATATTAACAAAAGATTTACAAATTAAAAAATTAATATCAGAAATCAAAACGTCAAAACTTTATTCTAAAAAACCGGAAATGAATAAAACGGAAATGAACAAATTGAAAAATTTATTGATGATTAAATCGCATCATCAAGAATATTTAAAAAGGGAAAATAACGATGAGTGTGATGATTCTGGAAAAAAAAACATTTCGACAAACGAACCGTTAAACAAACAAATCGACGAGTTACAAACAAACGTGCAAACGCTAAAATCACACGTTAATTATTTAAACGAATTGTTGATAAGAAAAAAGTAAGAATTGATCACAAAAACATTTTTTTTTTTTTTTTAAATAAATAAATAATAATCATTATTATTATTATTATTTTATTCCAGTCAAGAAATAATGGATTTAAATGAAGAAATATATTATTTAAAAACCGGAAACAAATCAATCGTTTGTGATTGTTGTTGTTATCGTATGGAAAATTCGTCGAAAAAATTCCCATCGTCACAACGTCAAAAAAATAAAATGAAAATGTCGGAAAATTCTATATCGTTATCGGTAAAAGCCCTCATAGATGATAATTTACTAAAAAGGAAAAGTTTTTCAAATAATAATGATAAATATCGTAGGAAAATACATTCGGCACCATCGTCGAAATTTAATAACCACATTAAATATTTTAATGAAAAAAAAAATGAAACCAATGAGAAAAACATAAAAGAAAATGATGATAATGAACAACAACAACAACAACAACCAAAACAACAACCAAAACCAAAAGAAAAAGATTTAAACGTTAGAGATTTATTTGTTGATGAAAATGTAAGATTAATTAATAATAATAATAATAATAATAATAATACGTCAAACGAAATAATAAAAAAAAAATGGAAAAATATTTTTCTCAAATATAAAAAACATAAATTTCAAATAAATAATAATAATAATAATAATAGTAATAATAATAATAATAAAGAAAATACATTTGTTATTAAAAAAAGTGAAAATAAAGAATTTTTAATAACAAATGAAAATATTAAAAACGATGTTATTAATCGTGGCGGTGATGAAGATGATGATGATGATGATGATGATTACGATGATTTTTTTTCACGTTATTTTAAAAATGATTCTCTAAGTGGGACGACAAATAAAATTTCAGAGGAAATTGACTTGTCGAACCCTCCCACCACCACTACCACCACCACCGCCGCCATTATCGGTACCAAAATAAATGAAAACGGAGTCGATGACGTCATTTCAAAAGAAAAATCACAAACGAATGTTACGAATCTTACCGAACTTAAAAAATCATTTTCCAATGAGAAAATTTTCATTTCGAATAATAATAATAAAAATAAAGACATAAACGATGACGTAGAAATAATTAAAGAAAATATAAATAATTTAACAACAGCAAAACATTCACCGGAAATTCAAAAAGAACATTCAACATACGAACAAAGTCAAAAATTAATTTTTAATGATAATGGAGGAAAAAAACCTAATTTCGATTCGAGTTTTGAATCTGATTGTGGATTTTCGGATAAACAACAACAACAATCACACATCGTTCGAGTCGAAGTTGAAATTAATACGATATTAAACGACTACAACGATTATGGCGAAACGATACGAAACGATATCATCACGACTTCCGATAATTCGATTCATACAACGGAAGACACGTGCGAAAGTAACGAATTTCATGATATTGATGACGATGACGATGATGATGACGTCATTATTAGATAAAATGATATGTTGTACCTGAAAATACTTAAAAATTATATTATTATTAAACACATAATCTAACATAATTAATTTACATTTGCTAAAAACATTTCTCGTGATAATAAAAAATCGTGAATACAAAGTTTTATATAATAATAATAATACTATGTGAAAAAATAAATAAATAAATAAATTAGTACAATAAAATTTAATTAAATAAATAATAATGTAATATAACTAATTATTATAGTAATAAATTTGTTTTTTTTTTTGTGATGTGTAAAATAACTTAAAATAGATTAAACATGTTGTAAAAGAAACAAATTTTTAAAAAAAATTAACTTACTCGTTAACTTTTATGAAAATTTTTGTTTGTTTTCGATTCGATCATGTTTAAAAATTTTTTCAAGCAAATATCTAAGAAAGAATAAACAAACAAGTTTAAAAAATAATCTTGCATGATAAGAATTTTAAAAAAAAAATTCATTTAACATGTTAAACAAGATTTATAAATACATAAATTAATTACCCCTCATGACTTTAATTTTTAAAATTATATCCAATGAAAACCCCCCAACTCCCTTAATACTCGTCGGGAAAAAAAAAAAAAAAACAATCAATGTAAAAGATAAATCGTAATACAAAAAAAAAAAATAAATAAATAAATCAAAACTTGAAAAAAAAAAAATAATAATCTTGATAATAATGCTTTTTTTTTTTTTTTTTTTTTTTTTTTTTTTTTTTTTTTTTTGGGGGATGAAAAAACAAAAACAGGGGGATCATTTTAATCTGATTTTGAATTTTCAACTTTTGCATTTATGCATCTGGTAAGACTTGAAAAATATTTATTGACAAGTCCTCTTTGTGTGAATCCAGGTATTAAAAGTGTTGTAGTAACTGTAAGTTAAAAAAAATTAAATAAAAATGTTTTTTTTTTTTTTTAAAAGGTTGAATAATTAAAGTTTTTTTTTTTTTAAATCGAGATTTTTTTTTCTCGAACTCACCGACTAAATATGTCAGTAATAAATTATCCACATTATTTCCAATCCAAGAGAGAAGCATCAGACTTAAAATAACAATTATGTAATACTAAAAAAATAAAATAAAAACTTTTAAGAGAGATTGATTTCAAAAAAAAATTACCTCTTGAATTTTAAAATATCGGAAATCATTGTAACAATTTTTTTTCAAGGTTAAATATCGAGAGTTTAAAAAATTTGAATTTTACACAGAGCAAAATGAAAAAAATACTTACAAATTTGGGATGTTCCATTTTTAATTTGTAAAAAGATTTAATTAATTTAATCAAAAATAATTTGTATGATGCCAATGATCTACATATCGATTCAAGTTTTCTTTCTTTGGCCGATGTCCACCTTTCTGGTCTCCTTGCACTTTCAGCAATTGTCGGAACAAAATAATCTACAATTGTTATTAAAATCCCAAATCGAGCTATTATTGATAATATACTAAGATTCATGAGCCACAATAGAAAGAAGCCCACAGAAGTTGTTGCAACTATGATTCCTATGTAGGAGTTTTTTTCCCATGATAATATAGAATCTATCGGAAGAATAATATCCCTCCAAGCTTCTAATTCTCTTTTTAATTTTTTTGCTTCCTTTTCCTTTAAAAAAAAAAAAAAAAAAAAAAGATAAAGTTTTTTTCCATTTGAATTTCATAAACAACCATGTAATAAACATACGTTTCGAATAATTATTTATAAATATTATATTATTGTAAGTATTTATATAAAATTACTTAAAAAATTTTTTTTTGATAAGAAACAAGACACTTCAAACATTTTTTTTTTTTTTTTTTTTTAATATTATCATATTATCAATTATTTTTTTTATTAAATTACTTACTAATTCAGTTACTGACAGATGTTCCGCCATGATAGAGTATTATTTTAATGAAAAATCAGTACAATTTAAGTAAATGAAAGCTTTACGAGAATGTTTTAAAATCCAAAATTTTAAAACTAGCCAAACGATCAATTTTCATTTGTTTACTACCGCGTACTAAAAAACGCCGCTAAATTACACGCAGCAAATTTATTTTGCTGTCCCAAATGAATTTTAACATTTGAATTACTCGTAATTTTTAATTTTATTGTTTTAAATGAAGTAATTCTTTTCTTAATAACACAAATTAACAAAATAAACATTTAAATCTAATAAACAAAACACTTAAAGTAAAAAATTCGAAATTAAATAAATGATTTGTCGTAGCAAATTTAAACTAACGGTAACCGATGCCGTCGCCAAATGTTTTTTATCTCTATGAAATTTTTATACGTTTAAAAGCCGTTTAAATTTGAATATTTACAATATGAAGTGAGTGTTAAGATTTCAATTTTTTTTTGTTGTTTGTTGCTTTTAATTTAAGTTTAATAAATTTTATCTTATAAATATCTTATTTAACTGAAATTTTCAATAATAATTAGATTAAATTTAAAATTTTATTGAAATTAATTTATTAATTACATTGTAAGTGGAATTTAAAAATGCATTAAAAGAGTGCATCAAATAACATCAGTCTTATTTATTATAATCATTTTTAAAAAAAATTATTAATTGTCCTAAAATTCTATGGTAAATTTAAAAAAATAAAAATAAAAAAAGCTTTATTAATAATAATAATAATAATGGGAAAAGTTATTGGTTGAGTAATATTTTTTTTTTCAATTATTTGTATTATTTCCTTCTTCTTCTTCTTCTTCTCCTCTGTTTTTAACAAATAATTCAATTTTTTCTGGACGAGGAATTCTAGTCAATCCTTGTTTAAATAAACCACTCAGACTTTTATCTTTTTGTTCAATTGAAAATTGAAATTTTTCAATCAATTTAAAAAGTGTTAATTTTGATGCTAATATTCCCAATTGAATGCTAAAATCTGAACCGTTGATTCCAGCTTGTCCAAATGGTAAATATGAAAATGGACTTGGGTTTTCACTAGAATTTTCTGCAAATCTTTCAGGTTCAAATTTTTCTGGTTCTGGATAAATATCTTCTGATCTATGTAATGCATATAATGGAATTGAAACTTTAACATTTTCATCCACTTCTACATTTCCTATAACTGTTTTTTTAACGCAAAGTTTTTCAAGTCTGCCAAAAAATAAAAATAAATAAATTTAAATTCCATAGAGTAATAATTCACATTACATTCTAAAAATTATATTTACCTAAATTCAAATGGATACAATCTCAATACTTCTTTAACAATTTTATCTAAATAATTTAAATTTTGTATATCTTCATATGTAAGTTTCTAAAAAAATTATTATTATTATTATAATTAATTTAAATAAATTTTCATTTTTTTGTTTAAAAAAAAATCAAATGATTATTTCTTACTCCTTTAGTTTTATTTTTTTGTATTTCTTTAAAAACTTCTTCCTGATGTATTTCATTTTTAGCTAATGCATATAAACCTAATATAACGGTCGTTTTGGTCGCATTTGAAAGTGATAACATGGTAGCAATACATTTTGATATGATAACATTATCTTTGAGTATCACATCATCACTATCATCCTCTTCATCATCTTTTTTTTTAATTTTTAATTTTTTTTCTTCTTCGGCTGCTTCGACCAACAATTGAACTAAACTACTTGATTTTTCTTCCTGCAACAAAAACAAAAAAACTCACAATTTAAAATCCAAAATGTCAGAAACTTGAATTATTTTTTAAAAAAAAAAAACAAGAAACCTTACCAAAATTGAATTTAAATTTGCTGTTGTATCCGTTATACCAGTTATGGCTAAATTAACAAAATATTGCAAAGTTTTTTCCGGGCAAATCCAAAATTCTTTGAAATAATTCTCGTAGAGGACTTCATTAAAACAAAACAAAACGTTAATTTTTTGTTTACAAAAAGAAAAAACCAGGGGAATCCCCCCGTAACAAAAAGAAAACATATTTACCGAATCGTAGTGATGTGAGAGCATTCGGATCGCTCACGGAAAAAATTTTTCTAGAATTATTAACAAATTCTTCTTTGAATTCGACATCAGCATCTAATTCTATACCGAAAATTGAATTGGCAACAGCATCGTCAATAAATTCTGATATCGATGACGTCACGTCCAAACAATTATTTTCCTGTCGATTTTTAGATATCGTACGAATGAGGATTTCAACGGACGATACGAGTTTTGGAAAAAGCTAAAATAATTAGAGGAAATATTTCGTCTGCTTCAAATAATTACAAAAAATTTAATTTATAAATCGATAATAATACCTTTCCAAGTTTTTGAGGATTTAATAGGGAATTCGTTAAAATTTGCACTTCTGATTTTTCACCACCGCAAAGTGATAATAAACTATCTTTGAGTATTATGCTATTTTCCGAATTGACCTGGAAATCAAATTTATTAATAATAATAATAATAATAATAATAATATCGTTATCCGAGAAGGGGGTGGTTGTAAAACTTACCCTGACATCTTTAAAATTATCCGAATTAGTATCTAATATTTCTTTTATTATTTTCGGATCTGTAACTAATAAATTGGGCGTTATTCCATCGTACGTACCATATATTTTACCATATTTTTTACTATTTATTATATCTTCGCTTCCTAAAAACTAAAAAATTATTATTATTATTATATACCATTCGTAATTCGTAAACATTCGGGAACAGGATAAAAGGAAGTTGAAAAAAAAATTTTTTTTACTTATCATTGATTATATTAAAATAAATTTTTTACTTCCGTTTAATATTTTTAGGGTTGTCTTTGTTTTATCTCTCTCTCTAACAAAAATCTCTCTCTCTCTCACACACACACACAGTCGTTTTTTTTGTTTGACTGATATCTTTTTTAATAAGATTTATCTCGTTAAACGAATCCATTTCCAGCTTCCCCCTTTTTTTCTTTATATATAAATAAATTTTCCCCCCATTTCCCATTCCCCCGGGGGGATAATTACAAGTCATATTATTTTTTGAAGTCTCAAGCTGTATCGAACTATTTAAAAATTTAAATTTCCATCAAATAATTTAGAATTTGATGACGTCATCAATTTAAAAATGATTATAATTAATGACGATCAATGATTATTCGTTTGCTAAAAAATTTTTTTTCAACGCAAATTCGTTTTTTTTGTGTTTGTTTGTTTGATGTGGTTGTTAAATTGTAGTTTGTTGTTGTGGTTGTGGTTGTGTTTTAGGCAAGAAATTTTTTTTTACATTTTAGGCATCGCATGCATGACCGTCCTTGAACTTTTTTTCCTTTTAATTTTAGGTCGAGTTTATGCTTGTAAATCGAAAAAATTAACGCGAGAGTTAAAAATGGCGTTCGTATCGTTTTTCCCCCTCCCTACCCCCCACATTTTTTTGAGTCAAAATTTTTCCAAAAAATTCTTTCTCATAGTCACGTGATAATAATTCAAATGATTAATTTTTTTTACCTTTTCATTTAATCCTTTCCATGAACCGTAAACGTAAACCGGCCTTGGCCCACTAACGTTTTTTCTATCCCAATATGCATATGCTCGATTGATTAAACTGTAAAAATTAAATTTAATTAATAATAATTTTATTAATTATTTTTACACTCTGATAAATAATAATAATAATAATAATAATAATAATAACACGTCATCATCATCATCATCATCATCATAATCATTTTTTCTTTTTTTTCTTTTCTTTGTCAAAGTGATAAATTTTTATTTAAAAAAAAAAAAATGAATAGTTTACTTGTGGAAGATATCATTATTATTATTAAATTTGTTACGTCATTTCTTTAAATTTCGTTTGTTGTTTAAACAACCGCCCCCTCCCCCCCACGCTCGATATAAATAAATGAAAGAATTTAGAGGAAAATGATTTTTAAAAAAAATTATAATTTAAAGTTAAAAATTTCCCACACGCCATTTTCTTATCGATTATTAATATTCGAATTGGAAATAATAAAATGGAGCCTTGTTTTCCTCCCCCCTCCTCTCCCCGTCTCCCCCCACAAAATTTTTTTCGTGTACATCTTTTTTATTATTATTATTATTATGGAATTTCCGAAATGTTTTGGCTTTAATTCAAAAATTTTAAATTTTATAAAAACAAAATGATTTTATTGTTTAGTTTATTATAATTGATAAAATGAAAAATTTTTTTTTTTTTGGTTTTCTATTAAAAAAGATTATCAAAACTTAAGGCCCCCCCAATAAATAAATAAAAACATGTCGGACATTTTTGTAAATTTAATAACGTTGATGACAAAATGAAAAAAACCTTGAAAAAAAGAAAAAAAAAAAAACAAGCACATCGTGTTAATAACAACCAACCAATCCGTTTTCATTTTTACTTTTAATGAAACATAATAATAATAATAATAATAATAATTAATCGTTTGTTAGAAGCCTACAAATTTTTTTTGTTTGTCGAATTGTTTGTTCATCCAAACACATTATGGAATAATAACAGAAAATTTGTTTTAAATTTATTAAAAACATTCTAGAAGTTTGGTATACATTCAATAAAACATTTAGAAAATTAAATTAGGCAACGTTGCGATTTTTAAAAAA